CCCTAACTTTAGTTCCCCTCTAACTTGAGCAAAAAAAATTCAAGCTTTAAAAATTGAAGCCTAACTTTTCTAAAAGCTTTAAAAAAAAAAAAATGTAATAATAATAAAAATAATAATTTTTTTTTTATATATAACATATCCAAAATTCATTAATATAGAATGTGTGAGGAAAACAAACAATGTCAAAAAGGTGACAATTTTAGGCTATGCAATTCATCATCATGGCGATCAGGTTTGGTTTTTTTAAATGACATTGAAAATGAGCTTAATTTTTATTTTAGCTTTATATCTGAATTTAAAATCACAGTTAGTGATTGAACGATAAAGTTCTGTGAATGTCAAAATTCTAATCATTGCTATATATAGGTAGTCTAAACTAGAGTTTTAGAGAAATTTTGCATAGTTTAAAAAAAAAAGTAACCCATTTCTAGTAGTGTTACATGATTAAAATTTATATGTGAATAAAATTTTAAGTCTTTATCAGGCAAAATATGTTAATTTTAGGTCTTTAACGTTGGTTGAAAGTCTATTTTGTATATTGGAAAAGTATCAGAATGATTAAATTTTACAACATTTTCGGGAGTACCAATTTACCCAATTGGCACTAACAATTACGCTGAATTTGGATTCTGTGTCATCCTGCTTTGGATGATTGTGGTATTAACTTAACAAATATTTTGACACCTCTTAATTTTGATAACACTGTCAAAGTTAAATTTACAAATCAACGTCTTGTAGATTTTGAACTGTTCATATCTCTAAGGTGCGCCTGTTCATCTCAATATTTATTTTCTTTGTTTAAATTTTTTAATTATTAACATTATTAAGTAGATGACTTAGAATACAAGACAGTAGATACATATTTTTTGTTAAAGCAGGAAAAGAATCTAGCATCAAAATTTAAGAAGTTATCAGAAATTATATAAGAAATCATAAGATGTTTAGGGGCAAAAAGCATTTGAAATTTTGGGTCATTGGCATTTATAAACTTTTTGTCAATTTTTGATGGTGATTATACTTTCTCTGAAGCACCACAGCCTTCCAGTTTCAAAAGGAACAAAAGGAAAAGGCATACATTCTCAAATGAATCCGATTTAAAAAAAAGACTTGATTAATTTCAGTTTGTGTCATTATATTGCATGTAAATGAAAGAGATTAAGTCAATGTTTCTGAAAGAGATTAAGTCTGTGTTTCTGAAAGAGATTAAGTCTGTGTTTCTGAAAGAGATGATTAAGTCAGTGTATGTTCTGCTGGTTAAGATGATCTTTCATTTGATGTGTAATATCTTCGTTTTTGTCAATGAGGTAACATATTTTTTTGGTTAATATTTTGTGCAAATTAATGCTAAGTTGCTATCTATTTTTCATGTTGCTGGGCATTAATTTTGTCCCTTACTAATCTCTAAGTTATGAGTAGATATATCTGACATAATTTTAATTGGATTTTGATAGTTATTTGATAACTTGCATTTTTAAATCACATTTTTTTTGTAACCTTCATTGTCAAAAAAAATCATGTAGTTGGCACTTTTAAAAGTTATTTCAATGCCTGTAAATGTTTCTTGATACCATTAAGTTGCAATGCATGTTGTGCTGCTTAAAATCAAAATCATCTTCCATTTGATAAATAATATGTTTATGACTGTCTTGAAATTCTGTTGCTTTTTTTCTGTCTGAAAATAAAATTATATTCGCCCTTTTTCAAAACAAAACAAATCAGTTTTTGGTCGCATTCAGCTGATTTGAAATTTTTTTTTAATTGAGATATTTCTATAAAATGAGTGATGTATATCTTAAACTTAAAATAAAAAGTTCTATCTGGTGAAACTGACCACAAGTATCTGCGATGTATAGTTATTTGCACTACATACTGTATATTATATTAGAAAAGTCTTGAAATTCAATCTTTTAATGTTTTGTATTGTACTTACACAGCTTTTTTAATATTTAAATTTACAAAACTAAGATTAATAAACAAAATAAATAACTTTTTGTTATATTCCAGGTCAGTTACGAGTACTTATATTGGAGCATCAGACAAGTCGTTACAAAAACTTGTCTAGTGATGTGCTAGATCATATTATGAAGTTAAAACAAACTGCTGAAAGTATAAGTGCCCTTGCCTTAAAGTATGTGGAAAATGATGATGCTAAATATTATAAGGAGTTCAGTACTATTATTGCATCGCCTTGGATGACACAATATCCTCCCCACAAGCTCAAGCCATCTTTGCGATGGGAGATTCCTCAATACAAGTTAAAAGAGAAAGGTAAGATAATTAAATCTTCATTTTTTTAAACTAGGCGGGAGTAGATTTAAAATTAAAGTCTTAGAGTATTTACTAATTCCAAATAATCCATTTCCAAATGCTTAAATAATTACATAATATTGTGATATTCTTTATCAGTTTATTTGCATACTTAAAAAAATAAATATATATATATATCAGCATTTATGTGGCTGTTTTCCCTTAGTCATTTGTCACCTACAAAGATCTGCAATGGAAAATAGTCATTAGTTAATATGTAAATTAGTGCTGCCCTTGAAAAATTATTACGGTAACTAATTTTTACACCAAGTTATAACTTTCTATCAGCTCACTTTTTTTTGTGCTCATTATCTAATTTATTTTTTATTAAATGTGACTGTTTGTATATTGAAAGGAAATGTTAAACTTTAAATATTTCATGATTTATTTTAATTTTGCAGTTAAGCTCACTGAAGATTTAAGTGATAAATGTATGACTGAACTAATGAAGAGTGATTGTACTATTTCTGAGAGTTGTGCTGAAATAATGACCAGTCGAGGTTTAACTGGTTACAGCATAACCCATCAGCTGCTTTGGACAATATTGGGTGAAAAAATGGTAAATAAATGGTTTATAACTATAAACTATACTTTGATTCATAAGATGCTTTGTTTAGCCTTGAAACAACACACAAGAAAATATATTTATTATCTCATCTCATAATTTTTTTTAAAATTTGTCTTTCACTTTCAGGTATTTTTTTTGCATGTTCCTTTTTAAAAAAGTTTTGGACTCAAAATACTGTAGTGTTTAGAAAATGTGCAATATTTTTTGATTAAGAGATATGATAATAAATACTTAAGATCCAAACTTTTTAAAAGTTTCTTAGTAAAAAAGAATGTCCTTAATAGATAATAATTAATAATTCAAGTACACTTTTTGGTACATTTTTAAATTGAATAGTCACTGTTTTCACTTCAGTAAAAGGTTTTGTGTGTAAACTTAACATTTGAATATTTATTTGCATTTTAAAAAAAACAACAACAGAGAGCAATTGTACACAGAACTATAAACACAGTGTACACAATATTTTCTTATTCTCTAATTAATATCTTCATAATTTGTCCTTGTCTCAGTCCAACTGCAGTATAACAATGAACAAAGTAATACAAGACAGGGGTTTAGGCAATGTAAGCAGCATGCGCCTAGAGATGTGCACCAACAACTTCTATGAAATGGTGGCAGTTGTGGAAGTTTTGATGCATGGAAAAGTTCATGAAAGTCACCAAGATCTTTTTTTAGAGCAGCGTAAGTTAATGGGAGCACATTTGAATGTCCCCTGGAAATATTTAAGGATATAAAATCGATATAGCAGAACAGCTGATACTAGCTGATCATTATAGAAATGTCACATTTTAAAAGAGTGAAACAATTAAAATTTATTATAAAATAAAAGAGGATTAATTATTATTAATTTTTTTTTGTTCACATAAACCTAAATTTGTAACGGTTACTTTATAAAATCCTTAAAAGTAGTTAAATTATATTTTGCTAGATGATTGTGTTTTTTTTTTAAAACATAAATTGCGCAGCAGCCCAAAGCATAAACACCAACCAACTCAATGTGGTGTCATGATTGGGCTCTTAGAATTTATTTATATTTTTTAAAAAATCAAAATCATTTTAATAATTAATTTAAAAAATGTTTTTTTCTCATCCAGAGTTTGTTTGCCCAGGTCTTGGTTATTATGAGTTCCTCAAGAAAGATTATCTTCATCAGATCATCTCTTGGCAGTTTTCTTCAGGCTGCTTTGGAGATGTGGAGAACCAGAATGAAGATCAGGACAGATTTGAGATCGCCTCAATTTTGGAAGGGTACCATGAAGGTCAAAGGCAACTTATACCAAAGGCAGATTTAGCTGGTTTTGCTGGAAGTATGCAAAATAAGTATGATACTGAGGACATTATTTCTAACAGTGCAATACATGCTGTAAAGTCTACAAATAAGGGTTCACACAATGGCATTAAAGAATCTTCAAAAGGGCACATTTCCAAAAGCCCCACACCTAGAGTCCTATTGCCTCGTGCTAAATCTAATGGTTTGGTCAACAACAGTTTAATGTTTTCACCTAAGAAGCACAAGTTAAAGCAAGGCCATATTAATAAACCTGAAATGCAAGTTAAACCCGGAAGGCGCCTCCTTGTTGAAAAAGAAATGGGAAGTAAGTCATTTTAAAAAATAAAACATTTATGTCTTTGAGCCAATTCTGAAAAAGTTTTGCTAAAAATAGTTTCTTTTAAAAGTTTGAAGCACGGATAACTTCCTTAATAATTTAGGAATTATGTGTAATAGCTAAAATGATTTATAAACTATGTAATAAAATCTCTTGCCATTGCTGCTATAACACTATGATCTATATTCTTTCTGTCCAATCTCATTATTATTGAATGGTTTAAGAAAGATTATTATAATACCTTTGTGAAAAGTATATTGGTTGTTTTGTTTTTTTTTATATTCAGGTGGCTGTCTGTCTCACAAGACTGGGGTGGCTGCCGGAGCCCTTGTCATGTACCTACGCTATCTAGTGGTTCCTAGTGATATTAAATGGACAGGCCAACATGACCTGTTCTTGTCGGATACTCGCAACTTACTGCAAGCCGACATGGAAGGTCAGGTGAAATTGTCTGAGGAAGAAGAGAATGACAATGATGAAGACGAGGAAGCAGCAGTTGATAACATTGGTGATTACAACGGAGACGAAGAGGGGGATGAAGAGGAGGCGGGGGAGGATGCGGATGGTTATAAACAAAATGAGCATGATTATAAAGCTAACCTTGCTGATAATCATTTAAGTGATAACAATGGCATTCAGTTTGGGCAGCTTCGTAATGCCGATAATGGGATCATTAATAATGAAGATACTGAGAGAGATCAAGAAGACTATGTCCATGCCCAAAAGAAAGCCTCCAGTAAGCAAAAACTTCTAATTCATGGTCAAGCCTTGGTCAATGACGATGTCCAGGACCAGCAGGAGGACCACAATTATTATGATGATGAAGGTGAGACAGAAAAGGGAATCATTAAGAAGAGAAAACATCTCACTCCCCGCCCACATCCTCCAATCAAAATTCGTAAAAAGCATAAAGAAAATTCAGGGACTCCCATGTTTTATAATAATGTCCAGGAGGAAATGTCTCCAGACCAGCCAAATTATTTGGTGATACTTTTAGTTTCTGTCTCCCCATTTTTTATCTTGTTTTTCTTCTTACTTAAGTTCATACGGAAACGGAGGGTTCACATACGTTACTATTTTTGAAAGTGTAGATGTTTACTTGGGATTCTCTCATAAGAAAATGTGGCCTATCACTGGTTTCAGATTAATCTTCCTTAGTTTATCTACCTTACAAAATTTTTTGTTTATTGAATTTCGTGTACAATTAATGTTGAAACATTAACACAGTTAACTGCCAAGAATTCTGAATGTTTTTTTTTTCTCTTTCATTTAATTCATTTTTATTATTTCTTTGTTTACTTACCAAACAGCTAATTTTTTTTAAAAGAAAAGACGAACCTCCCACAAAAATACTCTTATCACATTATCAGTCATTTTTAATTTTTATTTGAATTTCAAAAATGTATTATTTTAAAGATATGAAGTTATCCCCATTAGGTTAAGTGTTTAACAAATGTTATCTATATAAATACATTTTCATATTTGAATAGTTCTGCATGACCAGAAAGTTCACTTTTTTTTTATATATGACAAATTTTTTTTTTTTAAACTTGATTACTTGATCATCATTTATTTGTGTAATTATTTACCTGTAAAACAAATTTCAGCTAATTTCAGATTATCCATCCATTATTCATCAAACCTCATACCCTTTAATGTTTTCACAGTGGTGTAGTGCAATACTTATAATACGTTGATTTAGTTGTTCAATTCTTATATAGCTGGTTAAATATTTGCCACAGATTAGATTTTGATATGATTACCTTTAAGAATTTATAGCCTTTGTAATGTACAGATTGATTTATCATGGTATCAAAATGTCAACCCCGCCATTATTTGAGTTCTTAGTTTTATGTTGTTTTTTTGTAGAAAAATATAGGATTTGTGTTAAGTTAAAAATCCAATAGTTTAAATGGTTATTTTAAATAAAATGTTAGATTCGTTTCTATTGTTGGTGAGATTATTTTGGTTGGATCTTTTAGAGGAGTATATTAGTTTATATTTAAACTTTTGCTGCCAGTGTTTTTATCTTTGCATGGAAACATATTTTTTTTTTCATGCATTACTATGAGAATTTTATTTTTACAAAATTATCGCCTAAAAAGCACAAACTTGATCAAAATTTATTATCTTTAAAATTGCCTGAATACCTTTATGGTATTTATATATTTGATTTTGGCTTGCAGCCACAAATAAAACAGAAATATTACCAAATACTGTTCAATATCGTTTTACAAACTATATTTATGGTTAAAAAAATAATAATTTTCTTTTGTGACTTTGGAAGTCAGAGACAGACATCACCTCCTTGGCACAGAATAATGTTGTGAAGGAAATGACACTATAAACAAGAATATGAGTTGATTTTCCCTGAAATGTGATTAAAGCATTATTGTACTCAACAACTATCCCCAACTTATTGTTTAATCTTACATATATACATCTGATAAATTACCAAATCATAAGTGCTTTTTTACAGCTCTTTGGCAATAAATATTTAATAGTGTTTTATTGTAAGTTATAGTATATTTTTTGAAAGGGGAATTATTATTCGTTCACCAAAAAATGTTATTTTAAATTTTTTGTTACCATAAAAATGTATCAGTTCGGATTCTGTTTCACATTATCAAAGTCTGTAAAAATCTAGTCTACCCCATTTATTAAAATTTTCCAATTATTCTTAGCATATTGATATAGTTCTGGAAAACTTTATCTCATTCAGGCTGCAGAAATATTTGTATATATTTACTAAACTAATTTTGTAATACTCATTTAACTTCTTTTTGTGTACATAAGTTAGCTCAATTTTTTTTTCCACCTTATTTTAACAATATTTACAAAATATTTACATGTCACTTTATTGGATTATTCAATGTTCTAAAAGATCATAGAGGTTATTTTGATTTTTGCCTCTTTTCATCTCATAGTTTTTTTTTAAACCTCTTTGATACTCTTAGGAGTACAGCACCAAACAGAAATTTGTGTTGTTTGTTTAGTCACGTGATTGAACTTGTTGCTTATCATTATGCATTGCCCTTAGTCTGTATTCTGTAATGCACAATATCTCCTCTGAATGTGTTGTATCAACTGATCTCCCGCAATGATTTGGAGGTTTAAAAAAAAAAAAGCAATCGTTATTATCAAATTCTGATCTTCCTTCAGTAAGGAAACTCTTTGAGATATATATCCCTATAAAACAAGTGCATGGATTATATATTCATTCACTAATAAATACATTTAATTTTTTTTATGAGCACTTTGCATAGATAGTGTCAGTATGACTTTAAACCTTCATGAATCTTGATAAGCATATTCTAAAACTTAATTCAAAGCTCCGGTTTATTAAAGACCAGTAGGTTATCTTTACAAATATATTACCTGTCAGCAAACTATGACCAGGAAAAGTCTTAACTAAACATGCTTTGCATGAAAATTAACAGTTGATCCAAACCTTCTTCTTCTTCTATATATTAAGGGTCCACTATCAATTTATTGATCATTTTGGCTCCTATGCATGTAGAGGGGATTTGCAATGTTTCTGTGCCAGGTGTTGATGAGGATATTTCGCTAATTGAAAGGGCTACTTTGTGAGGGTTTCAGACACTGGGGTTTGGAAGACCTGAGGCAATAGACGCAAATGTTTCAAGTGTTGTCGCATCAACTGTCCCTTTTGAAAGCTTGTTCCAGTCCCTGATGGTATTTGGCAGGAATGAGCAGTTCCATCACTGGCTTCTCGCTACCTGCGGTAGTTTAAGTTTTAACTTAGGGTTGTGTTGTTTTTTTTCTAGAAATTTCAACTCTTACTGGTTTAATTTAACCCATGAGCCATGTGAATTTATCTTTACTTATTTTGGCGCTTCAGTCAGAGATGCACTACAGATAATCTCCAACGATGTATAAATTTAAAATGGTTTTAAGTGAGATGAAAAATTTGTATAGACTGCAATCATGTATATGTTGCTGTCTTTTTCCTATGAAATAACTGCATCATTAATGTTTTTTGTGTACTGCAATTGTAGAGTTGTACAATTATTTGCCATAGATTAAAAGTCATGAAATTAATAATGTATACATAAATGACCTAATGTAGAAAGAATCATAATGTATATAATGTATTCTTTTGGGTTTTATGGCATGGGGTATGTGTAAAAAAAAATTCAGCATTTTAAAAAGTACCTGAATTATCCATACATTTGTTTCTCGACATTGTGTATCACCGTTACAAACCTTGTAACTTCAAATAGTTTAAGAACATTCTCATTGTGGAAGTTGTGTTAAATACAATATTTGCCTAACTCCACCTTTTTTTTAGTTTTAATATTAAAAATTGTACATCAAGGATGCATGATGTTATTTATTTTTTGTTTCATAGATATTTAATCTCATTCAAGCTTTTTGTCCCCCAAAACATTTGGTACGCTTAATTACTACAAATGTTTATTAACTTATGCTTTAAAACATCACGTTGGTTTTTTGGTTTTTTAAATATTTCTTTGTTACCACCATTTTTATTACAAAATTACTTACTTTGTCTACAGACCTTTTGTCTGGATTTCATCAACACTCATTTGGTCTACCGAACAGTCAGTCAACCATTACATTTTGTCCTCCCTGAGATGTATTAATTCTAAATAAATTGTGTTCATTTTGGCTCCTCAAATGTTTTGTTGCCTATGGTTTCAATTAATCATACTTATGCACTGTTGTAATTTTAAACAAAATTTAAGTAAATGATTCAACTAAAATATTCAACAAAAATATTCAAAGAATTATTCAGAAATATAAATATTATTCTTGTTACTAGCAAATTAACAGTGCTATAATTTTGTGGGGCCAAAGTATACATAATTTCTTACTATTAAATAGTAGATTAATTTTATCAGGGTTCTTATGAACGTTTAATTTAAAAATATTTGACAGTTGCTATTGTTTAAAAAATATTTAAAAAACAGTCTAATTTGCAGTGTAATCTACCCTGTAATCAATAAATAAGTATAACGTGGTAGTCAGATTGTCATTTGAGACCAAATAGTACTGTAGATGACCTTTCATAGTCCTAAAGTCTGTAGATGAATTGTCCCTGAACCATGTCAAACTGATGGTTGTAATACTAAGTAATAGAATTTGGAATGTACTTTTTAATTTCTTTGCTGCAACTGAATAATATTTTTTGTTCGGCAATGATTGTAAATATATATGCTGTACCCAATTTACAAAATGAGGTATTTAGCAGCAAGTATGTATTTTGCATTCCTTTTCTTCAATTTTTAAGATTTAAAATTATCCAACTACTGGTACATGTGAAAATTTGTTGATTTGCAATTTATTTTTTCTTCATGAAAAACCATGCAGAAAAAAAAACAGCAGAAAATCATATTGAAATATAATAATATTAATACACTAACTTCAGAAACGATTAAAAACAAAGAGTCATACACCGTTTATATTCGTCTATAAGTCAAGGGCAGTTTTTTTACAAACAATTATGAAATGTGCTATGACTCGATAGGTTGAGGGTAAAACTTTGGGCTATGAAATTCTGTGATTTTTATATTTTTGACTTATTTTTCATAGCAGAAATTGCTGCACTCTCTATTAAACTGTGACAGGTGTCATTAGGCCAAATATCTATATACCAAGTGGTGGTATCAAGTGACAACCCCACAATATATTATTATTGTTTTCTCTCCACTAAAATTTCTTGTCATATACACGAGCACATACGGTACTCCAAAAAAGATATTTTAAAGGCTGATGCCAGCAGATACGAAAATTGAATTACATATTTCTGTTCATTATCTCACATTTTATGCATAATCAATAATGGCTTATTACTAGTTCACAAGTAGAAAAGCTAGTCATTCATCTGACTGGAAAAATCATGTGACGTGAAAATGTTTAATGATGCCAATCATGTATTCAAATGTTCCCTTGCTTTAAAACCTGACTTGAATAATTTTAGGGACAGCTCAAAGTGGATTTGATTTATTTGGTAATTTTCAGCCTTGTACCATGTTCAGAAGGAAAGGCTGACATAATTTTAAGTACCGGTAGTCTATAAAAGGGTATGGCAAAACTGTTATTTTATTTTGTACATAATCGGGAAGTTTTGAGACAAAGTTGGTACACCCTAACATACTAAAATGACTGGGACTAACTTGTTTCTTAAAAAGCATACAAATATTGTTTAAATAGTGCTTGCTGCTTGGTGTTTTTTTTTAAATTTTACTCATTGTGATGAATTTATTTATACACTTTTTTTTTTATAGCAAAATACTGCTGAATATTATTAGTAGTTATAAATGATGGAGACTATAAATAGGACTTTTTCTGGTACCAGTACTTCAATATCACAATAATATATCTTTTTTTTAAAAGGAATTTAAATAGATGTTTTTTTAGACTTATAAATTATATGATAAGGTTTACTAATTTGTTTGTTAACCTTACACAATCAAATTGGGTTTATTGGTTTGTTTTACTTTTTTGTTTTGTTTTTTTTTAGCTCAGCATACAGGTAAAACATTTGAAATGATTTTTCATTCGGAGCTGTTTATGGATCGTTTTGATTTAAGTAAAGTTGTAATGTCTTTTTAAAATATAGGAAACTCGGTAAATTGTCAGTTATCAATATAATTTGTAAAAATATACATCTCCATTTGTTTGCATATGAAGATAAGATATCTTAAACCTTTATAAAAAATACTTTGACATGATTCCGTTAGGTTAAAAAAATGTTATTCCTATGTTTAAATTATTTGATGGCTTTTATGAGTCTGTTTTAAATTAAAACACTTCGTTCTGGTGTACTTTTGTGTCTTATGGTTTCATGTGTAAAAAAAGATGAAAAACTATTATTATTAGCATACAAAAGCACACTAAAAATGCAAGCAAAAAAAATAATAATAATGTCAAAGAGCAAATTTAACCAGTTTTATTTTATTTTCACAGAAACAATTTTAGCATAAACTAAAAGTAATTATTTTCTTAACATTTAAAGAAATTATTTGCTTAACATAATTATTTTTCTTAACATAAACTTTAAGTAATTATTTTCTTAACAGCATGACATTTATAATTTAGTGTATTATCAATGATGTCAATATCAAAACAATAAAAAAACTAAATTCTGCTCAACAAATTAAATAAATTACATTGAGTCCGTGCATTGGTTGAGACATATTAAGTTTTGAATTTATTACAGACAATGCCCAGAGTATATTTAATTTCACTGATGATTTATTGAAAGAAAAATTATGATAAAAAATTGTTATTTCACAAAACTGGTTGTTCAATGGTAAAAAAGCAAACAAAAAAAACAAGATCATTTTTAGGTAACAATATCAAATAACAGAAATTTTTTTTAAAAAAGAAAAATTAAATTTTATAAAGAGATTTTTGCCTCAAAGCCATCATCATTGACACCATTGTACAGGAAAAAGTTGTTCAGTGGGGCATCTTTTTGAGACACAGCCTGGAATGACAAATATGTAACTGGTAATTTAATGTTGGATAGTTTATAGTTCACACAAGTGTTAACATCATAGTCAAATTAAGGACAGTTGAAAAATTTTACAACATATTAAATTATGAGTATCTACCTGGTGGAAAGAAGCATGGTGAGGCAAGCAATGTTTAAGTTTAATGCCACGTTGAGCACACAAATATATGATTGTATATATAAAATATTTAACATAGGAGGGATAGTAATAAATAAGAATATACAATTTGTTAAGTATAAATGGCTCTTTAAGTAGCACAAAAGAAAAAGCCACATTTTTCTATCAAACTACCTGTAGGGCTGCAAAGGATAATAGCATATATTATCATTAAGCATTGTCTCATAAACATAATGTAAATTCCCTTGCAGGCCACAAGAAAATTATATGTCACATTTAGACGTTGACATTCTCAAGCAAGCAATAACGTGCTGTTTGAGAATAACACAATCTATATATATAATTATATAATTTGCCAGAAGTAGGGCAAACAAGAAGACTACGACCATGCAGGCTATATATAGATATGCCAGAGCAAGCAAGATGCAGGCAAACCCCTCCCTTCCCTTGCCTGCCCATCGTTGGTCTCCAGACATGCGCACTGCGGTGGAGCTACCGCCCCCCCCCCTCCTGCACCACCCTCGCTTGCCAGTCATGCGCACACCCCAACAAGCTCCCGACGTCTGCTATATTTATAGAGTTCATGGGCGTGAAATAAAAAGTGTGCAGTGATGTAATCATGAAAAGGGGGGGGGGGGGGGGGGAGAGGTGTAGCAAAAGTAGCATTCTTAAATGTGCGTAACTTGAGTTCATGATTTTGTCAAGAAACTTTAGTAGATAAAAAGTTCACGCATTGGTGTCGCCAATGTTTGGCGGGCTATGTCTAGTTGTAAATATTTAGGGTAAAATTATGCTATTTTCAAAAATCTAAATTTCAAACCTTGATAACTTCTTGGGCCAAGACACCCCCGACGATAGCACAGACTGGACTAAGCTCACCAAAGCCGCATCTGAGGAGTAAATTTTGTTAATATAACTATATATTTTACGTGACTGACACAAATTTAACCACATTAATTATCATCGAATTGTACATATATATAGGCTGTTATTAAGGGTGATTGAAAAGCATGTGTATTTCTTCACTGTAACCATCTTAAAAAATTGTGACTTAAGTATATGCAAAAAATATTAGATTAACGAACTCACTGAAAGAAGTCTTCGGGTACAACCTTAGCTGGAACACCCAATTTGTTCAACAACTGAATCCGGAGATTTTGGAGTTCTTTGGTGTCAGCTTCTATGGTTTTTAAGTGAGGTCGGCGGCCATGTTGCTCAAGAAACTCTTCATAAACTTAGAAATAGAAATATTCCAGCTTTTTAATTTTTGTCATCTGAATGTTCCATAAATTCAACATTTATGCTTAACAGTAACATATACATGATACATTAATATTCTCAAAGTGATATATGATACAGTAATATTCTCAAAGTATGACTACTTAGGTAAATAACCCCTGCAGGCCAATTAACATGCCATCCAATAATTACATGAAGCAGATCACTCATAACATTGCCTGGTCCAAACCCATCCTTTTTTAAACATTTCTTAATGTTGTAATTTGTAAATGAAATAAAAGTAGTGACATATTATCCTGGATTTCTCATTTCTCAACCCGACAATGTCTTTAAAATAGATGAATTACCTCTAGTTATGAAAAATGCTGAAGGTGTTTGACGCAATTTTCTTTTCATTTCTGGTGTATCTGCTGACCAGTCAAATTTGAGTTCATCCTCTAACCTTGTGAATACAATTTTCTAAAGAAAAATAATGGTTTTAATGTTATAATAAATTCAAGTCAACAAATTAGGCAACCATCAAAATTTTTAATTTAACACACACAAAAAACCAATAAAAATGTACTCTGCTAATAATGGAATCACAAAGGATGGTGCACTACAATCTAGCTTCTTTAGTTAACTCTTGATTAATTGACTTCCCCCCTTGGTCTACATTTCAGCACACAAACATCTAAATCCAAATTTCTGTGTCTGTAACTAAAAATCAGATTTTGAAATATTATTTGCCTCAATAAAAATGTCATTAAAAAAGGCCTATGAGTTGTATTTGCTGGTAATGGTATAACTTATTATTTGCAATCTGTTACTTTTAAAGAAAAATATAAATCCTCATAAAAACAAAGCCACCATTTTCCATGACCCCAAACATTATTTTAAGAAAAATAATAAAGGAGCCAGAATGATCAATACAGTGATCGTGGGCCCTCAAAATGTAGAAGAAGAAGAATCGTAATTTTCTGATTTGCCTCTTATTATATATGAACAAGTTACATTACTTACTTCCTTTGTACTTATTGTCTCTTCTGTTTGTTTTGAGTTATCTTCTCCTTCTTTGGGCTTTTTCATTTTCACTTCTCTAAAAAATGTCAAAATAAATAAATCTCATTTGAAGTGCTTTTCAAAACATAATTAAGTAAAAAAAAAAAAAAAATGAAAAAATATGATACTCTGAAACCGTGTGAGATCTGACCCACAAGGACTCATGCTTTTAATATTATTTTTAGACTAATAATGACTATCTTACAGAAATGGAAACTGCAGATTTTTTTTTCTGAGTATGACAATTTTTTGCATTATTCCTAGGTTGCAAAGAATTCAGCTGAAGAAGTCAACAAAATGAACATATTTTGATCAGCTCCTGGAAAGCTTTTTTTTTTTTAAAAACATGGTCTGATAACTCAGGACTTTAGGCCCCACGCCCCCCATTTCAGGGAAAATGGCTACCAAAGTGACATTTCATTTATTATATTATCTTGTTGTTGTTGGTTAATTGGATTAGATTCTTTTAATGAATCAAATAAATGGGAAATTAAACTAATAATGACTATCTTACAGAAATGGAAACTGCAGATTTTTTTTTCTGAGTATTATAATTTTTTGCATTATTCCTAGGTTGCAAAGAATTCAGCTGAAGAAGTCAACAAAATGAACATATTTTGATCAGCTCCTGGAAAGCTTTTTTTTTTTTTAAAAACATGGTCTGATAACTCAGGACTTTAGGCCCCCCGCCCCCCATTTCAGGGAAAATGGCTACCAAAGTGACATTTCATTTATTATATTATCTTGTTGTTGTTGGTTAATTGGATTAGATTCTTTTAATGAATCAAATAAATGGGAAATAGTTATGATTATAATGTAAATATTCTTGTCAGTCTTAACAGTCGTCCTAGTCTTTTTTGTTAGTTTTAAACTTGGTGTGTAGCAAGACATTAGGTAAATCATTGTGTGGTCAGATTCTCCAAGGGAAAAATAATCTGTGAGGTGCGTAGGCTCTTTACATGTTTCCTTACCAAATATCAAGATTTTGTTCTTGCCATGATGGGAAGAAAGAAAATTTTCAAAAGACGTTTATCACAGTGAAAAAATGACTCACTCGTGCAGATATTCATGAAGTCCTAGGTCAGCAAATGTGAAACCATAAAACCCAAAAACGTCACCAGAGAAAAACTTGATCTTATTCTCAAAGCACAGTTTGTCAAGGCGACACTGCAGAGATGTGGGGGAGCAAGTCACACAAATAACATCAAACTGAAGGAAAAAGTTGTCATCTTTTTCACTGGGATCACTGGTGTCTGAGGTCACTGTCACCATTGGATTCAAAAGACGAGCTTGTGGCACAGAAGCTTCAGCTCTCTGAATAATACAAAATTTCAAAATGTAGAGTTCATGGATGATATTAGTACGCGTGTCATATCAGAGATCAGTCTTTTTTAAGAGCTTTCAATGGAAAAAACTATTTGAAGAAATTAAACTTACATTTTGTCCAGGGGCAGCACTCGAGACAAAGAATTGCGACATCTTGTCTTCATCGTCAATCTTTAAAAAAATAAAAAAGGGGCATATATGGATAATTGTAAAAAGCTATGCATAAAGGAATATTGAAGACCTTGTTTTTAGACAACTTATTCTGACAAAGCCGATTAACAAAGCCCATAAACAGCGTGTAGGAAGAAAAAAAAAAAAGCATGTGCCAAAAGTGTCAAAAATATATTAAAATATCATAATTTATTTTACAAGATACATCATTGCCCAACATGATTAAATTATTATACTATAATAAATTTGCGGCAAGATCTTACGTTATTTGGATCCATTAAAGTAATTGCCTTAATGCCAGAGAGAATGATATTCTTGGCAACTTCTGCTCCCAAACCCTTCATACCAATCAGAAGAACAGTTGCAGCTCTCAGTCTAAAAATAAAATAATCATAATAATAAATAACAAATTCAATTAACTAATTGAATATAGCGTATTATAGTACCTAATACAAGCTAAAAGCAAACCCCGTCCTGTCTGTTGAGTAGGTCTACTTTAGCAAAGAATAAGAATGTTTAAGTGCACTAAAATCTCGCTTAGTTTCATAATTGTTCTATGTTATATATAAATATATTTATATACAATGTGAAAAAACTCTGCCATGGCCGGTCCCAAGCCTGTGTGCAAAAGGAGGAGGGTTGAAGTGAGGCCAGCTACCTCCCCCGTAAAAAACAAACTGCAACAGGAAATCCAAAAAGAAGAGAAAAACAAAACAATTTCAGCCCTGAAAGAGTGGGCTATTCTTCCTCAAGAAGAGTTATGAAGCCTTGCAGCCAAAGCCAGGTTATACCGGAAGCCTCAAAGCCAAGGGTCCACCTTTCAAAGGCAATAAACATAGGCTCATGGATTGTTAGGACCATGTGTGAAACAGGAAAATTAGCACAAGTGGTAGCAGAAATGAGAACATAAAAACTCACACTGCTCAACATTAATATACTCAGGGCATGAGGAAGAAAATGGTCCACACACGCAAGGAATTGCTTTCATGAAGACACGGATGGCACAAGAGGCACTGATAGGATAGGAGGCCCATGGTCCAAGAATTATTACTGCAACCTTCCTGTTACACACCGTAGTCAGTAGGGAGAAATTTAATCTCCTATTTAAGGGTATGGCTTGTCCCCCTTTCTATGCATCCTGGCCATTGACTGGATAATGGAAAAATCCACAGACAAAAAGAAGAATGGGATACAGTGGACACTCTGGGAACAACAGAATGATTTAGACTTTGCAGACGACATTGCACTTCTGTCCCAACAAATGCAGCAAAAGACATAAGGTGTAGCCACCATTTCAGCAAAGCTTGGACTCATTATAAATAAAAGCAAGACAAAGATCATGAAGGTAAAATCAGCCAAACAAGAGCATATCTCTTTGGCAGGAAATGCTAGAAGAAGTGGAGGCCTTCACATAATTAGAAAACACCACTGAAATGAATGGTGGATCAGAAGCAGATGTCAGGGCTAGAATTGGAAAGGCTAGGTCGGAATTTGTGCTATTAAAGAAAATACGGGAGTCAAAGGAGCTGACTCTGCAAACCCAAGTCAGAATTTTGAACACAAATGCCCAAAAAGTCCTACCCTATATAGCAGAAACTTGGAGAACAACAGCAAACATTATGCAGAAAATACAGACCTTCATAAACACTTGCCTTAGAAAGATCCTCAACATCAAATGGCCAAACAACATCACCAACAAAGACTTACTGGAAAAAACATACCAGGAGCCTATTACTGAAGGCATCATAAGGAAAAGATGGAGGTGGATAGGGCACACTCTCCGCAAACCCCCTGATAACATCAACAGACAATCCGTAACTGGCCTAACACATGGAATCCACAAGGAAAAAGAAAGAGGGGAAGATCAAAGAATACATGGAGACACAAGCTAGAGGCAGACACACAAAGTATGGGATACACCTGGAAAGGAAAGCACCGGATCAAAATAAATAGAAAATTCTTGTAGACGGCCTATGTCCCAGGGGGGTAAAAAAGGCATTAAGGTAAATAAGTAAGTACAATTTCAAAGTCAATAATGTGAAAATATGAATATGATTCTGATGTCATGTGATATGTATAAATCATAGTAAATATAGTATATTATAAAATATGTACTTTCAGTTTGTAAATGGTTTTACTTTATAAATCTTCTTAAATATTTTCAACATATGACTATAAGTACAAGACTATATGAATGACACTATATACTATATATGTCTTCTTCGTTCAAAGTATGCCTAAGTATGGTCTTGGACTATGGAGGAGCATGATCATCATTTTGGCTGAGACTACTGCTAATAGTATACTAATACTAATAGTATTTTTATTGTTCGTCCGTCGAGGACCATCGAGTCGTCTGGGGACTGATGACTTGCGCGGATGATTTTGTTTAAAGTGAAGAAGAGTTGCGCTGCGTCTACCTCACTCTCTCGTCCGAGCCCACTATATCCAGTAGCAAGACTCTAAGTCAAGATGACCAGGGATGTGTTCGGTTGCAGGAATTGTCATTGTTTGCGCCTTACGGGACTCCAACTCCGGGTTTGAATTCAGAGTTTCCTTCTCTTAGATGAGTTGCTGACCAAGGTTAACGAGTCACATCCACCCGGGGTGATGTTTTTGCTTGACTGGTCTTTTGCTGGACTTGAACACCAGACCACCAACTTGAGGTTTGCTCAGTTTAGACCATTTGGCCACCCATAATACTAATAGTACTAATTACTAATAGTGCAACTTTAGCCTCCTGCAAACGGCTCCAATTTTGCTTAGGTGCCATGGGTTTGTATTAATTATTCCATCCAGGTTTCACTCAATTCACTGTGCCTGTGTTGAAATTGTCGTTGTCTTTGTGTACTGCGGACTAGATCAACTAGACTAGTCCTAAATTACTACATGTAGGCACTTTGATTAAAATTTCAAAACATTTTTAAAAATATAAAAATACTACAGCTGTATAGAGCCCATACAATGGTTTACAAAAACACAAGATCAACTTTTGGTAATGTTGTATTTTAGCGTCGGTAATAAAAAAAAAATTCATTGCCGAAGTTCTGTATTTCCGGTTTTTAGCTAAAAGTAATAAAGAAAATGGCCGGCAGACCCAAAAACAATAGTTTTCTTGTGTTGCCTAATGCTGTATTAACTGATCAGGACATAAAAAATAAACCGATTTGGACACTGGTTACATTGGGACAACAATTGACAAATAGTTTTGCAGCTCTACAATGGTGCGCACAAAGGCGCTTGCTCAAAAACACAATAACTTGTGGACGTTGTCAACAACCGTGTACACTCAACCGATATGCACAGGGAATTGATGGGCATAGATGGGCTTGTGATGGGTGTGGCTTCAAAAAGTCTGTACGAGATGGCTCGTTCTTCACACTGAGGCAAGTTACTATTATGACGTACTGTTGGGCATGCGACATGCCACAGAAACAGATGGCTCGTAAAACTGGTGTGAGGGAGAAGGCAACATTGGTAGACGGGTGTAACTTTATGCGTGAGGATGCGGAGATCTGGCTTAATTCAAATGCAGTTGAAATTGGGGGCTTTGATGCTAATGGCGATTCTATCGTAGTTGAAATCGATGAGACTAAATACTTTCACCGGAAATACCATCGAGGCCAGTGGCGAGATGGACATTGGGTTTTTGAGGTATCGAGCGTGAAAGTGGAAAATGCTTTCTGATTGAAGTCCCAAACAGAAATGCAGCAACTTTGCAGGCCTGCATACAGCAGCATATTTTGCCAGGTTCTCACATCATATCTGAAGGTTGCGCAGCTTATGCGCAAGTTGACAGGATAGGAGGTGGAATATATCAACATTCAGTTGTTTCCCATCAACACAACTTCGTTGACCCGAACGATGCAGAAGTCCACACACAGAACATTGAGAATATGTGGATGCGGGCTAAGAGCAAACTGAAGAGACAATTCGGGACAAGTCGTGCTCTTTTTTCGTCCTATTTGAACGAGTTTGCTTATCGTTGTTACTTTGGCGGCGATGTAGACTTATTCTCACAATTCATCATGTCTTTGGCTGACAATTATAAATTATAGATAAATGAACACGCATTTTCTGTCACTGAATAAACATTAAAATTGTTTTATATGGTTTTAATTATTTTTTAACAATTTTTAAATTTTTTTAATTACCGAAGCTAAAATACAACATTACCCAACTTTTTAGCTCAAGTGGTTCATAAGTTATGAATTTTTTAGTAAGGACCTCAAAACCCCTTTTTCACTATGGGATTTTCCTCCACATTTCGTCACCCTCATATTCATATTGCTATTGTTATTGTTTGTATGCCTATAATTATAACTTTTTAATAAAATGAGACAAAAATATGATATTTTCAGGGAACACAGTTAAATATGAGTTCTTCTAAATAAAACCACAAAATACAATTTTAGTTTTTGTTAATATTCCGCAAAAAATATTTTTAATCTTGATAATTTTCCTTATTAAAATGAATAAAACATGAGATGCGTCTGAAAAAAAGTCATGATTTGATTTATTAGTGACGTCCTGAGTCACACATTCATTTTACATTATTAACAAAACGTTACTGAACCTCCTCTGAGCATCGAGTCCCCATAGTCTAATTTGTCTGTCATATAGTTCGGCTTCGTCTTGTGTGATAGTGTCCATTGTCGACTCAGAAGAATCCATTGTTTCTTCTTTGAAAAATGCCGGTAGAGAAAATGGGAAAAGATTAAAAAAAAATACTCTTTACTTTAGAAGATACTTTATTACATTTGCCAGTTAAACGTGGACTTCAAGAAAGTAAAAATTGTATAAATCGAGATATTTCATGATTGATAATCAAGAAATAAGTATTTTTTTTATTTAAATTACTTAAATTTATTTATTTCATAATGATAATAAACTTCAATGCATGCATGTTTCGTTTATTATATATTATTTTAAAATTTTATGTTACTTATTTATCTTAAGAAAATTGATATAGCCTTTCGCTTGCGTAAAATGTCTTGTTTATATTTATATTTATCATTTCCATCTAGTCAATTTTACAATTGCAATTTGAAGCATGGGGATATAATATATAATATAAAATATCATATATATTTTTGAAGAATGACCTTACTTAGTAAGTACCATTTCAGTAGTAGGACATTAGGAGTGGTAGTATTTACTAATTTTGTATTAGTATTAGTTGTAATAATGGCTTAATAATTTTAAATAATTTACCAAAAATAATATAATAATGTTTATTAATTAATAATAATATTTTGAATAAATGAAATTTAAAAAAAAAAAATTATTATTAGCCTGCGCCTGCCTATTTTTTTTTTTAAATTGTCATCTGCACAGGCTCCCTCCTGAAGCATGGACTTGGAAGAGTTTAAGTTTTAGACTGAACTGCTTGAAACAAATTAAGTTCGTGTATCAGTTCAGTATGCCCAAGCCATGAAAATGAATGAAAATTTAAAGAAATTGGTAGGTAAATAATAGACCTGAAATCATTTAGCTGAAATCATTTAGTTTAGATGTGGATGTAGTGTTTAAAAACACATAAATGTAGCCTAATATTAATTATATTGAAAGATGTTATTTCCATTGTATAATTAACAAAATACACTATTAAATTATTAAATGATAATTAAACAACCAGTTTACTGAACTCAGCAAAAAAAGGAGGGTAAAATTGGAGCAAGAGGGTCATTTTAGTAGTAAAGTATGCTGCTCACCTCTGGAGAAACAATGATGATTAACCAGGCTCTCCATGATGTACAAGATAAAAAAAAATGGGCTGGTCAATTGCTCTAATAATATCAAACAGAAACTTGTCCCTCTCCCCCCTAGACAGCGACGAGGCCATGACAGGCAGTTCTGGCTCATAACAGCAAGAACTGCTCATTCCTGCCAAAGACAATCAGGGCTGAGGGACTGGAACAAGCTTCCAAAAGGAACAGTTTAGGCTTAGGCAACAACACTTGACATGACATGTTTGTGTCTATTGCCTCAGGCCTTTCAACCCCCTGTTCCTGTTGCAGCCCTTGCAACCAGTGAAATATCCTCTTCAATATCAGGCACAAAAACTTTGCAAATCCCCTCTACATACATAAGAGCCAGACTGATCAATACATTGATCCTGGGTCTTAAAATATAGAAGAAGAAGAAGTAATACCTATGTCCTTGTTGTGTACTATATTTTTGGATGTGGCACCATCTTTGTTGCCAAGGCAGCAGACACAAAAAACGTTGCACACAACATGGGGACAAAAAAGAAAGGGAAGTTCACTCATATTATGAACTGTGTCATGACCCTCCTGCTCCAATTAAATCAAAATTATATAAGTTAACATTTCGGCTGAACCTGTGCAAACCAGCTAAAAGATATTCCAGTTTGGATTCTTATTTTCTTACTGAACTGAATATGAATTTTAAATGGCCACCTTTAAAGTAGTAGGCTGATGAAACTATTATTTCCAGGCTGCACTCTGCGTATAGCTAGTGGTTTTTAACCTCTTAATTTTTTTTAGGCCCTGCCCACTGATGCAGTCTGCTCCAATGGGAGCCTGCTGGCAGGGGTACAGATTTCCCCAGTTTTTTGTACCGGTAACAGATATTAAACTTCCTCATCCCTTGTTAGTGTCTGTCAATGGCTAGGCACAGCATTGGGTGTTGGGTTTACGATAACAGCTGGCAAGTTGGTAACAAAATTGTGTCACCAATGATGAAAAAGCAACCCCTGTTGATAACAATGGTCAGAGGCAGCCGATTAGCCCTCATTACTAGGTAGCTTCATGTCATATAATGTTTAATGTAGGAGCCAAGAGTGCTCATTACTGCATTTACATATTAAATATGACCAGGATCAAGGTGGTCAACAGCACTGAGGAAATCTTCACAAGAGGGTGCCAATGAAGATCAACCTACCAGCACTACAGGGCTACTACTTTGCTCCAGGGTGGTGAAATAGGGGTGGTCATGGGAACCCATCCATTTCTTTGTAGCAGCCATCCCTTGATATAAAGCGACCTTAATAAGGTAGCCATGTGTCCAGCAGTAATGGGGGACGTTCCCTCTCTTGGCTGTGGTAGGTGGGATAGCAAATTTGGTTAATTTGTTGGCCCATAAGAGTCTAGGTTCAGGCCACCCATTTTTAGATTAGATTTCTTTACACAAAAAAAATGAATTATTAAAATTATATCACCCCATTTAAGTTCTTTTAAAAGTAGACTAGTGACTAGTATGTTGCAACACGCTGCTTGAAATTTGTGTGTACCATGAGAATAACTTGGCATTGCGTTTAACAATCGCCCGCACCAAGCGCCTATTAAAATAATTATATTTTTTGCCGTAGTTTTGTTCCCATTTTTACTGAGGTATTATTTTTAGTCTTTGTGGGAAGTATTTGTGGACATTTTATTAAAATTAGATTAACTTATTATAATCCATATATTCTAACTTAATAATTTCCTTTGTCATTGCCTGCTGCAAATATTTTAGCTATATATTTATAAATTATTATTTGCAGTTCACTGCTTTGTAAATATTTCATTTGTCTAGAACAGTGGTTCCCAACCTTTTAGACTCTTAGAGCCTTTTTTATTAATCAAATTTTATTAGGAAGTCCCTTAGGTCTTCCCTGTGTCTTACAAATTTCATTCAATTTTATTTCCTGAATCCGCTGAAAAAGTGCAAACTGAGAACAGGTTGGGGACCACTGCTCTAGAATGTTCCTTTAGAAATTTAAATTTAAAAAAGATGATTAGATGATGAGAAACTTAGAGATTTATTGTAAAGTTCTTAATTGAAAATATGTAAACTTAGATACAAAATAGTTCAACTCTTAAATGCTGTGACTTATCATTAGAGGGATGTATTTCTTCTCTTGGACCCTGAGGATGGCTCACTATTATCTGCAGAAGATCAAGAACATCAATTGGACCTTAAAGAAATATTTGAGTATTATATTCAATGTTCTAGGCGATTATCAGGTAAGGATTTATTATCCTTTTCAATGTCTTTATTATCCAAATTTTAATTTTATATAAACAGTATTTAATAATTTAATACATTTAAAAACAACCTGTGTGAGTTCTTTTTTTATTTTAACAGGTTGAGTTTGCTATTCATGGACAAAATAATTAGTATCATATTTTTCTGAACTGATTTGCTAGAATTTTCAGCACCATGTAGGATAAAAGTTTTTAAACATGTGTTTTTGAAATGCAGTCTTCTTGTAATATTATTCTCTGTCCTGTTGCCCTGAGAGATTTTCATTGAATAGATACTTATTATTTCATGCTGTAAATATTTCCTTGCAGAATACCATCAATTACATCACACCAATCAGAGTAGATGCAATTTCAGCAACATTGTGCCTAGATTTATGCAACTTTTGAGAGAATGTGTTTTAACACACCAGTGGCCACAAGCCTTAAAATTGGCTCTGGCACTATCTAAAGAAGCAAGGGGCACAGAAACTACTTTGTGGAAGGCTAGTCAAATTTTTTCATTTTTCATAATTTTTAAATTCAACGAATAGTCATAGCCTGGAATTATATAAATGAGAATGTTTGTATGTTCTTCATATAAAGTATTAATTTCAACATTTTCCCATGCCCAAATACAATAATGGTGGACCCATGTTATTGTAAAAAATACAAGCACAAGTTTAAAAAATGTGTAGTTTTTTTTTTAAATAATGATCTATAAAACTCTGTATTAGGCCAGGGTATTCTGGTAGTTAATATTCTATACTGAAATAATTTTAACCAGATATAAGGTTAAGAATAATTACACAGCCAAGATTATTTCTTTTTACCAAAAAATCATTAAAATTAATATATTTAAATTGAATTGAATACCTTTGAAAAACTTATCAGATTGGTCTTACATGCCTGTACCAGGAGGGAGAGAGAAGCAGGCGTTTTGTCGAACAATTTGTGAAGTAAGTTATTTTAAGATTCTGAACAAAACTGTATTTTAAGTGTTCACTATTGACTTTTGCAGTTGTAAAGTGCAAGTAATTTAACTATTTTTTGTCTGAAGTACCTATTTTAATACAAGTCACTGAGTAATCATTGTGTAACATATGAATCTTATTATGAAATCATTTTTTAATCAAGACAGTTGTATATGCTTCAAAACTTGGCAGTTGTGGAAGTGATGCTTGATTTCCTGCTTTTTCTTCTTACTCACTCCAACCTGGAAGATGCTAAGAATCTTGTGCAGGTCAAACAAAAATGTTTCCATTTAATTTATAGGCTGAAATACCAAATACGTTGTTTTCTTAAATTTCACTTTAAATCTAACATTTACCTTATTTGTTAATATTAATTATACTTAATCTTTTTATTCTTAAAAATAAAATATTAACTGTATGACACATCAACAGGAGCTCAAGCAAAAGACATTATTTCCAAGCCAACTGATCAATGAGAGAAGGAAAATGGCCCACAAACTTTTCTTTGCTTACCAAGGTTTAACTTTGTATGCTGAGTGGAAATTGGCGTTAATGAAGTTAGATGAAGAGGAAAATGACTTAGGTATGGCAAGGCTCCTAATCCTGTCTAATCCTGTTATTTAATTAATTTTTGTATTTTATCAAGAGACATCTACAGTAAGATTTGCTGTAAAAATTATCATTTTATTGATGATTTTAGGATTTTCCTGCTTTAATGATGCAATATCAATAGGATTTTATTTAAAGTATGGACGGTTGAAGATCAAATTAAAAGTTACGTGTTTTTCCAGATTTAATTTCTCAGAAATTATCATTGGGGTCATCTACTCGATCTACCAAAGCAATTGCGGACAGTGCGGTGGAGTACCTGGTTACTATAAAAGATACATCAGGAGTGTGGGATATTTTTATTACTAGACTTGTAGAGGTAGGTTAACAAATAAGAAAAATGTGTATTAAAGTATCAATCATACATTTAATTCCATGCATGTAAAGAGGTAGCTTTCAAATGCACAATCACATCACTACAGGTTTTTGTGTTTTTTTAGAAGTTCAACTTAAGTTTCAAAGTTAATAAAACAGTATTTTGGTGTTTTCATTAATTGCCTATGTTGTGGCTATATTCAAATATTTGTAGAATTGTGTACTAAAACAATTTAAATGAATTCAGACCTGGCTACTCTAATGATTTTGGTGTACAATTTACAATTTTGAGATGCTTCTTATGATAGTACTTAATGACCTATCAGAGCTACGACTTTAAGAGACCTGGTTGAAAAAATATAATTTGGCAGTTTTTATTCATTTAAAATTAAAAATAAAAACCTTTTTTCGTTGTTAGTTTTAACTACTTTGAACATCTGGCCGTTGAATGAACTGAGAAATACAATTGTTTGGGGACCATCCATAATTATATTACTTATGCACGGGGGGGGTGGGGGGATATTTGTTGACTAAGGATCATAGAAGTGTGAATTGGAGGGGATGAGGTATAATGGTCTAAATATTTTTAAAGGCAATGAAGTAAGACTGCCACTTTTTGTAATGATGGTGATAATTTTCATATTGTTGCTTTGTGTTTTCACAATGAAATTGCTAGATACTGCAACAGTAATATTAATTATTGTCGCCCTAGTGACAACTTTTTGTTTGCTTCGATGTTGTATAACATGACATAATTATTTCTCAAGTCGGGCGAACTGCGATTGCAAATATAGAGAACCTCTGGATTTTTTAATTTTTCTTAGTGCATTATTCACTGCTCCCCACTGAATGTTAGATTTGACAAATATATATAAGAATGAGCTGTGCTGATCACATAACGCTAAAAAATTATTCAATTTAAATACGTTCATAATCTTAAACAAAAACGATAGGAATTTTCTATGCTTTTACGGAAATTGAATCAATTTAAATATGATAAAAATAAAATATATCTACTTACATTTAAGTGTATGATAAGATAATCTTTTTATTATCAATAAATTAACTTTTGTAATCACATTTATTGCGAAAACCCAAACATCTGGGTTTTTTTTTAATGGTGTTGTAAATATTGCGAAATTAAATTAATTTTTTTTATTAAAATATCTTCAAACAATATCAAACTAAGTTTTCAATTGAACTCAAAGTAAGAAAAATTAGAGTAATCTTATTAGAACTTAATTTAAACTCGCAATTCACAAGCTTTAACTTTTGTTGATTTAATAAGCACGTGTGACAAAACTGATAAGGGTTTTCCCCCTTTTAAAAATAAATTTATTAAATATAATTGATTGATTTTTGTAGGTTAAATTTTTATTGAAGATACCAATATATCAAATTCCTGTAAAATACATTTGCATTACTATTAAGATTTTTTGTTGTAAATTTAAGGAATGTTTTTTACAACTTTCGGAGAGAAAAAATTGTAGTTCAGGGGCACAAAAACTAAATATGTTAGAAATGTAAACATCATCACATAGATACTGCTTTTTAAAATAAGGAATTCTGATTAACTATGTCCTAAATATACATTTCATGGAAGAGGGATATTGTCATCAAAACCTTTGTCAGTCATAAAAATGGGATTTTTAGGTGTTTAGACTTCACAATTGCAGGTAGAAAATATTGCTAACTTCCTATTATTTTTATCTCAGTTACATCTTGTCATATATTCTAGTTTTAAAAGATCTAGTAAGCAGCAGTTGAAATCTATTTCTAGAAGTCACAAAGCAGCTGTACAATTTGAATACCCCTTGTTTTTCCAGCATTCTTCTTATCTTCTCTTAATATAGCTTTCGGTAGTTATTAGACTATAATATGTTAACAGAAAATAAAATCAGGGATGGCCAACCCATGGCTTGCCACATGGTGTCATTAGTTATTGGTTATGCTTTATACATAATGATTGTTTATTTCTTCACTATTATGATACAGTATTGTATTATTTGTATGATTCTTAGTTGATTAAGTACTATTCTGAAACTATATTTTACTATTTATGGAGTTCCAGGGTAAACAGGTCTGAGAACTGGATGGGAAAAAAGTGTTTTTATCAAGTTTATTTATCATTTGAAGCACTCAGTTAATTTTTTTCAGGTTTATGAATATTATGGAGAAGTAGAGGAAGCTCAAAAAATTTTGCATGCCTACAGGGAGAGAAATCCAACAAATCCTAATGCTCATCGATACCTTTATGAATTATGCAGTAATAATAGTGAAGATGAGGATGTCCAGTTAGACTGTCTTAAGGTAATTGAAAATATATATAACTGGCTACTTATATGCCTTTTTTTTTTGTAAAGGTAAATGAGCTGCACCATCGTCTCACAAAATTGGATGGATGCTACCCCGATGACTCATTCATTTAACAGTATTAACACATTTATCACCTATATCTGTGGTTGGGGGAGGGGGGGTGCTGAGGGGCTTGGGAAATGTTTGGGAGCGCTGAGACTATCAAAGTGGGCGGTGGGTATTATATAATTTTTATACACCAAGAAGAGACAAAGACGGTTTGATTTATTTTTAAAACAGATGTATCAGCATTTATCAATACAGTTAGCAAGGCACTGTGAGCTGAAAACACCAAGTATTGTAGTTTTAATTGACTTTAAAAATGAGTTGCTGAGTAACAAGGATGATTTGGAATACTTAGAATTTGGCTTGCGTGCATCATTTAATAAATTTAACGTATAACAATGTTAATTGATAAATCGGAAAATTCAATGAAGTATTCATCCATTCAGCTTTTAGTGAGGTTCCAACTTTATAGACACAAAGCTGAGAAAAAGGAGATTAGATGTATGGCATAGCAATATTAGTATGAGATGGCATTTCTACTGGATGAATTGACTTTGAAGAAATTGAATCTCTTCTTTCGCTAGCATATTGTTGTGCAACAGGTGAAATTTTTATCAAAACAATTAAAAATGTATGTTTCATATTTTAAAGCAGTTCTGTCAACTAAGAAAAATTCCACTAAAAAGCATACTATTGAAACTGATTGGGCACCATCAATGACTGGCTTTAGGTTTCAACAGTTCGTCATTATCTTTGTGTCATTTATCGCCAACATCTGGTAGCTAAAAATTTCAGGCCCTTTATTACTTCAAATAAATAGTGGAACAAGATATGTTTAGGCTTGAAAAAAAGACAGAACCATTAAAATGTAACTTTCTTTGAGTTGTTCTGTCTTTTTTAAAAGATAAGACATATTTTGTTCCACTATTTATAATTTATATACTTCAGTGGAGCGCAGTCTCTCATATATTATTAATTATGGCAGCTAATTCAAATGCTTCTCATTGTGCTGACTCCCAAGACATCACATACGACACTGTTTAATATAAATTTGCAGATACAATGGAATGAAACCTGCCTTTTAAAAATCAAACTTTCTTCCTTACTTTGGAATACAAATTATTAGTCTGTTCAAGCTCAACATAGGGCTGCTCAGGTTATGCTGATTTACCAGCCTGTCAGAATTATTTTCAAAACGATTATCTGGTAGAGCGATTCAAGAATGTCCTTTTGTTGAAGAAAAACATTGAGTGAATAAAAGCTTTTTTTTTATGATTAATCTAATGCCATTTTTTAAGTAGGGCTTATTCATTAAAAATGATTTTAAACCAAAGTTTAAAGATTAGTATCAAAGGTTTTGCCTGCAGTATGAGAATTTAATTATCATATTTTCGACAGTGGACTACTGCTTGTTGCATTCTTATCATTGTATTTGGTAAAAGTAAAAGGTGATATTAATCAGATTTACCGGCTTTGTATGTAAAACTCTTAAACGGTACCTTAGTAAGATAATTATTTTGTGATTTATTCTTTTAATTTAATCCATAATACAATAAAGCTTCATTTTTTTAAAATGAATTATTCAAATATATGTCATTGTGTAAATTATCTTCCATAGAGGGTCCTGAACAATTTACTCTTAAAATGTTTTATAGTTGCATTTGACAGAGGGGCGTTGAGGGCCAGTTAATGGCCCCAGGGGGGATGTGGCCAAAAAAGTTTGAGACCCACTGATGTATAAGATTTATGTAGTTTGGCATAAATGTATTGTTCTAATATATCACTGAAGTTGTTCACTTGCTCGTCTATCATTTGAAAATATTATTACTTTTCATAAATCTAATGGAAATGACTTGGCATAAGAAAATTTAGCTTTAAACAAAATCTACCTCGAGGCTGTTTAAATTATTTGTTATAGTTATTACACTGAGACTTGTAAATGAGATCTTCTAAAACTGGTGAAAATAAAACCTAACTTTTAACTAGACATTGTTTCCATTCCTTTGAAACTACCCATACAAATTTTTTTTTAATAAATATTTTCCTGACTTTTCAGAGCATTGTGCAATTGGATCCTTGTAATTCTCTGTGTCTTAAATTATATGAACTTACAGGTAAATATTTTGTTTTTACTTTTAAAACAGAAAAAAATGCATGTAAATTTTGTGACGTGAGTGATTGAGATTTTACACTGAGTCTAGTTTTGTATATAAGTAGTATAGCTTTGTTTTATCCGCTCCAAACAGAAGCCAATGACTCAAGGGCAGTTTCTATTTTGTTTGACTACCTTGACTTTGACCATTGTAGTGGCAACGAGGAAGTCTGGGCATCTCTGGCTAATAAGTTAGAGCAGATGCAGAATGAGTAAGCATGTTTTAACTTACATTTTGTTGGTCTGAACTGGGTTTTAAAATGTTAAAATTTAATGTTCATTACATGAATTAATTGACTTGGTTCCAAGATTGCATCCAGATAAGAAATTAAAATAAAATGTATAAATGTTTGTTAGATAATCAAAAGTTTTAGGATTTCAATCATTCCATACACTTTTTGAAAATGAAAAAATGGATAACCTTTTAAAACTTTTTTTTCAGTCTTGAATTAACAGAGGTTGTAAAAAGTTGTTGGGAATCACGAAGTGATTGGTGGCCTGTTGCAAGATTTCAAGGACATCATGAAGTGTTAAAGAAGTGTCAAGCCCATATAAATTGTGTTAAACAAGTAATGGACAAATTTGGTATGTTTCTACAATACTTTTGCAATAATAACTTTTAGTAATACAAAGTAGTCCTTTGATAATTTATAATACCGGTAGGTCATAAAGTACTACATGTATTTATATTTTTTTTCAGGAACAGAAGAGAAAACCTGAAATGGCAGAAAGTCAAGGAATTGCAACAGTCATTGTAACAGTATGTTACTTTTGTTCTGCAAGTCAAAGGATATGTTTGTTGACTGCAGTAAACAGCATGAACAATGATGAGCATAATGATGAAAATTGGTAGTAAATGGAAAAAGGGCAATTATTGTTTTATTTGGTTTTAAATCTCTGTGTAAATATGAAGTGTAAATATCTGCATTGTTATGTTACTTGTATAGCTTCTAAATAAAATTTATTTAAAATAAAAGTATTCATTTTTTCTCATATTTATTGCTCAGCAAAAAAAGTTGAATGTTCTTTTTTAAAAGACTTTCATCCTAAAAAATATATAATAAATTAACTTTAGTGTCCATCTTTTTATTTGAAATTATTTACAATGCATGACTAAACAGTTTAATTCAACCAAAAATGGAAGGAATCACAACGGGCTAAAATTAGAGAACCAACAACAATTATCATTTGAGGCTCTGGAATCCATAAGAGCACATTTATTTTTAAATATTTCAACACAAGATCAAAATATGTGCTAAGAGCAATATGTTTGACTTCAGGTTTTTCCACTGCCTGCATGCTGTTTAGATGACTCATCATCGTCCTGATGCCATAATTGCTGCCACACCTACAAAAAAAAGTTTCAATAAATATCTTTTATAAAGAAAGAACACCACTTTATTATTTATTGCCATGAACACATGTTCTCAATGAGTTCCCAATAAAATGACCACTTGTTTGTGTATTTTACCCACTAAATACAAAGTATAAGGAAAGAAAGAACCAAAAAAAAAAAGTAAATTGGTTAAAACATTTATTCCATAATAATATAGAAATACAGACTTGATGATAGCAGTTAGCAGCTAATGATGTTTGCACCATATTTTTTTTTTTATTATTAACTTACTGTCAAAAGAGATCTTTTCTGTAATATTCTTTGTTTTGATATTTTCATCCTGGTTTGTGATGAACACATAGCCATCTAGTTGCTCAGTCCACCCATATTTACTAATCCATTGACTTGAATGAGCATCTGGTAAAAAATTATAAGTTTTAAGTAACAAATAGAGTTGAAAAATATTCAGTCATCAGGGATATTAAAAAGAGAACTTAAATTTCTAATTATTATCTGGACCAGATTTGGGCAACTTACAACATGTAGGCCCATGCTGCATGTTGAATCAGGCCCACAAGACCTTCTAGGAACTAGATTAATGGTTTTGTAAAACATGGAAATTGTGAATGAAAAGCCTTTGAAGATTAATAAGCACAATGCGAAATTGTAAATCTGAAATAATAAAAATCACATCCAATTAAAAAATAATTCCGCTGGCTTATTTTCAAAGCCAATCTTCAATGTTGAATATTAAAATTATCCTAAATGCATTGAAAATTATCACGCGCTCCATACAATTGTAAAGTAAATCTTAAAAAATAAGAACACTTTGATTACTAAAAATTTGTCCCAATAAAGCCAAAGCGTTCACTATAAAGAAAGATAAAATAAGGAAATTTATTCTCATCTGTAACATCAAGGATTTCGATTGGTTCTCCCCCCATCTTGACAATGAGGTCAAATAAAATGTAAGATGCCACCTAATTCTAATAAAAGAAAGGGCATAAAATCCTCACCTGTAATGTTACCGAGGAGTTGGCGCAATTTGTCTTTTCTAATACTCTGATAAGTGGATGCTACTACATGACAGACAACTGAAAGATATGCATCAAATATTTTTCATATATCAAATGAATATTTTAACTTCACCCCTTCATGAATTTCAGGGGTTAACAATTACAGCACACGTGTTGGTTTTTCTTGCATTGCAAACTTTACCCTTATGAAATAAAAGTTGTTGTTTTTTTAAATTAATTGTAGTTGTAATTCTTAATTTAAATGTATGCATTTACTTCCAAGTCAGACCTTTATGGTTTTTAATTAATTGTAGTTGTAATTCTTAATTTAAATGTATGCATTTACTTCCAAGTCAGACCTTTATGGTTTTTAATTAATTGTAGTTGTAATTCTTAATTTAAATGTATGCATTTACTTCCAAGTCAGACCTTTATGGTTTTTAATTAATTGTAGTTGTAATTCTTAATTTAAATGTATGCATTTACTTCCAAGTCAGACCTTTATGGTTTTTAATTAATTGTAGTTGTAATTCTTAATTTAAATGTATGCATTTACTTCCAAGTCAGACCTTTATGGTTTTTAATTAATTGTAGTTGTAATTCTTAATTTAAATGTATGCATTTACTTCCAAGTCAGATGTTTAGGGATGTTTTGAACGCTCTTATGAAAAATAACATACATTTTATGAATTCTTTCTTGGATATTGCCCTTAGAATCTAATACTAATTAATAGATTAAAATTGAACATTAATTCTGCACAGAAATGGAGAAGTCAATTTTGTTAAAGTGTATTGACACACCCTAATTTCTTGCACCCACTACATGAATGCCTAAGCCAGCGGTTCTCAACCTGTGGGTTGCGACATGAGAAATTGTATTAAAGGGTAGCGGTATTAGGAAGGTTGAGAACCACTGGTCTAAAAGCTGAAAGAAAGGACACCTAATAAGACCTTGATATTGTAATATTAAATGTAAGTGCAGCATAAAGTGTCACAAAAGATAATTTTTGTTTGTTTTTTTACTTCGTCTAAACAATAAAGCATTCTTGTAGCTAAACTAAGGATTACAATACAATGCTAATTATAAGGTTATTGGTTTAAAGATTATACATTTTTCATAATTATTCATTTAAGCCAACCTACATTTGCGTATTGAGTCTTCAAAGCCCACAATGCCAATCAACAGGCTCGGATCATCTTCCAGAGATGACTGCAGTAAAGAATGATCCCAACGTTATTAAATCATCAAAATATTGCATATTTACTATTTAATAAATTTCTTTATAAAAATTTGACAAATAAATAAATAATAACGTTATTTAAATGTGTAAACCCTTATTCTCGCTTCCATAATATGACCACTCAGGAGTCATAAGCTTTAAACATGGTTAAACTTCCTTTGATAAGAAGTTGATTAATTATATACAGCCCAGCCATATGAGGGGGTTTCCTAGCCTTTACAAATTATGTACCGGAATTACTGAAATTTAAACCTCATGCGTCTATTCACTTCTTTGCAATCCTAAAAAAGTAACATGTGAAAGAGTTGCATATTACCCAGAATTCTTGGAAGTTTGCAGTTTCTAGATAGTTTGCCAACTTTAAAACTTTTGATACAGGCTCCTCGAGTAACTGAGAATAGAAAAATTGTGATCAGAATCATCTGCCAGTTTTAGCATACACACTATTAAATCCCATTTTTAAAACATCTTTAAAAAGATACTAGATCTAACTCATGAATAGCATCTCTTTTGGAGTTTCAAAGATTTTTTTCAAGGCATAAATAAATGTACTCACTCTTGCTGTCTCAATAAGACACTTGCACAAGATAAAGTCTGAGTGAGGAAGATTTGTTAGTGCTTTCAGAAGAATAAGTGCTGTCACACCAGTCTGATACAAACTTGGATTAAACTGGTATCTTCAAAAACAAAAAATGATTAAAAAAATTGCTGTATCTTATTTTTAGAAAAAGAAGAAAAAAAACTAGGCCTTTATTAAATCAAAGAATAAAATGCATTACGTACGTAAGGAATAATCTATGCGCTGATTCAGGGGGTCAGAATAATTAGCAGCACTACACCTCCTAAAAATTTCAAGACCTTTTCCACATCCCCATTTAGATGTAATAATATTTTTCGGAATTTTGCATACGCTATCACATGATAAAAATGTCCAAAAAATACAAATAAATCTGGTTTTCTTGGTCTTCCAGCACCCCTGGTTAAAAACCTTTGCTCTAATAAACAATTACAAACAGACCAAAACAGAAAGTTCACTTGGCAGCTGTTCAGATGAATTTAAATTAATTATTTTTATTGATAAAGTTTGATCTATTGTATCAAAGGAAATAAATATATCACAGAATTACATATGCTAATTAGTATCTTCTAATTGTTTCTCTTTGATCGAAATATTGATACTGGTAAATGAACTTACAGCTTTAGTATGGCCAAATTAGCTTCAAGGTCATATGTGTTCTCACTTGCTTGCATGTCGACATATCGTTCTAATGTCTGAAGATTCTCTGGATTGTATCTGTGAAATATAAGACATTGACTGCATAAAATACAGTGGATTCTGATTTACTGGTATTTATAATCTTAGGGACCTTGGTAATTTCATCAATACAATATTAATTATCATAATTTTCCGTTTGCAAAATCTCATTTTCATTCATAAGAGTTTGCCGTGTGACAGTGTGCAAAGTGATCTTCTGGGGAGACCCTTGCACCCACTTTAAATAACAAAATAAGAAACAAAAATCTTCTGGGGAGGGGAGACCCCTCCCCCCTATTATAAAAATATAAAATAAGGAAACAAAAACTTGCATGCATTGAGTGAATACAAACATAAATATCTGCATCTATTGAATACATCGCTGTAGATGGAATTTGACAATAATCAAATAAAATATGACTAAAATTTAATTAGTGATCATTAATTTATTATTAGTTTAGGCCTAGCCCTGTTCATTTTCTGATCATGTTAAGTGTAATTAAGCTTAAGTTATAGTCACTTAAACTTAGTGTAGTGAAGTGTAGTAAACTTATTTCTAATGTAGTTTTTTAGTAGTCAAATTCAAATGTGTTCATTCAATTTGAAAATGTTACCCAAGTTCAAGTACCTATACTTAAAAATATTACTATTTTAGAAGCCTAGTTAGATTGTATGAAGTGTCTACATGTCCGGCGACCGGACGAATTAGTTCTCGAGATATTCGTCCTGATATTATATTATATATTCTACCAAGTCACATAACCGCCGTAACAAAGTTGCCTGAGATATTTGTCTGTCAGCCTTGTCACATGACCGCTAATAGTCAATCCGAGTTTACTTCATTTCAACAAATTCAAGATAGTCTGGACATTTACATGAAAGAGAAATATGTTCCATTCTACAAAGACAAAAGAAATACTAAATGAGAAACATTGATGGTATAAGTATATAGTATATGTTAGTACTTTGTAATAAACAGACAAATGCCTCAAATCCCCCAGCCAAATGGTTAAAAAGTGACAATTCCCAATGTTAAAAATATAGCGGCTACACTATATTATAATTATGTATATTTAATGATAATAATAAATAAAATTATCAATATTTATTTATCAACTTAAATTAAAAATTTCAATCAATGATGATGAATTAATTAATCAAAAATGGCAACATCACACATAAATTAATTAACAAGCCGGCTGATAATTATGCAATTATATGATTTTACCTATCATATGCAAAAAAAGCTTTTAAAAATTAATTACTATTAAATCTAATAATCCCTCATATAGTTACTTATTGTTTTACCATACCTATCAATTCCCTTCAATAAGGATGCCACGGTTGCTCTCATAGCCTCAGCCATGTTGAAAAAAAGAAAAGGAACTCTTGCCAGACAAATACAGAATTAAGCAGCCAACATTAGTTAAATTATTTTGATTCTTCTTCTTCTTCTATATCTTAAGTGCCCACGATCAATTTATTGATCATTTTGATTGAAACAGCCATTGAAATTAAAATAAATGTCAAGAGTTTATTGAATAAAGGAATAATTTAACAAAACCTAAGTATAAAATTAAATTATTTAGATATTTTTTAATGATTTTGTTATTTCTTTTTTTTTTAAATCTAAGCTGAACTCAAAAATAAAATAATAAGTACTAATTATTATTTGAATTTTGATGATTTAGAATTAGAATGTGTTGTTGTTTTTTTTAAACACACGATGAACGTGTTTGCATATGTATGTTATTCTATCTGGTCTTCAAATATTTCTATTTAGATGCACGTTTCTAACAAACAACATTTAAGCCAAGCGGTATCGCATACTCAACTGTTACCAAATTGTATTTCCGGGCCAATTCCTTTTACTTTCGTTTTTCCTGAAGTGGGGGTGAGCGGTTGCTGCTATTAATATTAATAAGCCTGTTTGTTGTTTTTGTTGTTGTTCTGTTTTAAAAGCTTATTGACCCTATGCATCTGTAAGTTCATGTTCATTGAGGAGTCTTAGTCTTGAGGTGAACTGAAGTATATTTTTTTAACATGCATTTAAGTTTAAGGTTGAGCTGCCTAGCCTAGCCGCCTAGCCTAACACTAACACTTACAGTAACAGTGTCAGTACTGCCTAACTACCGGTACTAACACTTTCACTAACTTACTTAACTGTCTTAACCTATTGTTACTAGTCGTCTGACTTCAGTTATTATTTTATTACTTCATAATAAGTAATAAAATGCTGATTTTTGACTGGCAGTCCGTCCATGGTCCATATCATCTCTGTTATGTAGAGTACACACATTCCTTGTGCCCAGTTTTTAAAAGATCACTTTATATTATATTTTCTTCTCTAATTTTTTTAACGAAGTGGATGCGTACACCGCGGCGGTGTACCTAGTGAAACCATCGGCTTTGACTTTGACCTGCGTAAACCGCGGCGGTGTACCTAGTGAAATCGTGGGCTTTGGCCTGGGTACACTGCGGCAAAAATGTACCAATGGCCTGGTTTTAAGATATGCTTATTAGAGAAGATCTTGTGGGGTCAAGTGGTAGAGTGGACTCTTGGCGATAATGTAGTTCGAGATCAATTCCCAGTAGGGGATCGACGCGTCGGCTCGGGATCAAGTTTTTTTCCCTCCCATTTAAGTTTTAAAATATTTTGTAGCAATTTAAACAATTTAAATATATGTTTAAATATTATATTAAATACACTTTATATATTTATATATATAGAAGTGTTTCAACAAGTTGTGCCGGCCTCTGACTTTGAAAATACCGGTAAATTTAGTAATAAGACTTGAGACATTAGAAAACAAACTTAAAGTTTCTGAAAGCGCATGTATAGTGTATGTAACATGTGTAAGAGAAACATTATGAATACTAAGTGACTAAGTGGTATTCTATTGTATTTCAAAATTCTTCGTGTAGTTGAATATTTACATTTTACTTTTACGAACACCCAAAGAAAATACCAGTATATCATTAATATCATATAATTTTAATGTCATTAATGTGCATGGTCGTATTTCAACCTTGAACCATCTTGCTTTCACTATGCCTTATGCATTGGCTAAATGTACATACGATATCAAAGGTTCATTCGCAACACTCAGTCTCACAGCAAATCTTTTGAAAACACCTCGATTTTAGAAACTTGCGGAGCGGTAGCAAACTGCATAGCAAAGCCATAGGTCTGCGTTTACCCTTTTCATGACGGAATTTGTTTCCAGAATGGCATGGCATGTGCTATTCTCAGGGTAAAACACGACGTTTTCTCACAAAAACCATTGCACAATGGGCTTGGCCGGCAGGATTGGCGCTATGGCAAAGTTTTTGTATTTGTTTTTTTTTTTTTTTAATTGTTAAGAAATCGATCCTTGCCGGGGGGTGGGGGGTGGTGGTGAGTCATGGGCAGAGGCTTAACCAAAAAGGGGGCATTCACAAATCACGGCTCTGGATAGGGATTGTCCACAAAGGATGTCCGCACAACAAATTTACCTTTTGCATCCCCCCCCCCCTTTCCGCCGGCATTTTTACTAATGTGTAATGCCAATGTAAAACTAAATCAATGATATTTAATTATTGTTAAAAGACTTTTAAATATCACTGCAGTGTTTCGTATTTATCATCTTACTGCTGTTTTGTGTTGACCCACGCTTGGTATCACAATGACAATGCCTCGGACAACTTTAACTTCACGACTTCATGATCAATGTATCAAATGTATGAGTATGTGATTCTCTTCCCGTATTGTATTTGTGGCGTGATTATATCTTTGTGCTAACAAAATAGATTCACTGGCTTCCCATTCATTTTTACACCACGCCCAGAGGGATCACATACAATGTTATATTTATAATGCCCCCCCCCCAAAAAAAAGCAAAAAACAACTGGGTCTGTATGAGAGAATAATTTCAAATTAGCTACCCTTTTTATGCCTATTAAGATTCACAATCATATGATAAAAATTACAAAAATGAATAAATATATTTGTATTTCAATATATTGGGGGAGGGGGGAATAATGTGGTTAACTTTAAAAATAAATCATGGTTTAACATTACACCCCCAGCCCCCTCCCTTCCAAAAAATAATAAGAAATGCTTTACATGTACTTTGCCAGATAAGCGTGGAACTTACTCAATATCTACCCAAGGTAATAAACGAATTTTAAATAAATAGTTTTCAGTTTTAACACGAGTATAACATTAAATCTACAAGTACAGGTTAGGCCAAAAAGTTACTGATTTTCTTGTTTGCAGATGACTGTCCCCTCAGTGCTGGGTCAGAAGTCAATATGCATGCAGTGTTGCAACTTTGTGCATGCACAAGCTGTGATGCTACTATACAGATAAAAAAGATTGAAGTACTGCATTAGCTAGCTCTCACATAGTGTTATGTACAGTCTGACATTAATATTCATTGCTGAAAGGCTTTACCTGGTTAAGAGTTTTTCCTACCTTGGCAGCACCACTGGCAGCGAGGTGAGCCTCTGCATAGCAAGAGCCTGTTCAAACTTCGGAACACTTTCCAGTAATGTTTGGACTAGCAGAGGCATCTGCTTCCATAATAAACTAAAAGTCTACAAGGCAGCTGTGCTCCCTATGCTACTCTAAGAGGCAATCAAGAAAAGCCTGCTTTAATATTGCACCCGGATATTGCGCATTTATCGCTAGCTTCATTTGCAAAGAATTAACTATGCAGGGATTGGACTCATCTCCCCTCTGTGGACCCACTGACAGATTCAGCCCCAACTAATCTCGGATGACTTGATTGGTCCTTTTTTGACGAACAATTTCACTCTCTGTTGGTTGCATACACAAAATTTCACTATACTTTTTAAATTTTCCAGGGTTTTGTTTTCTTGGTCACCTATCATATTTCTATTCCATCTATGAATGTTGTAATGAAGTGTTTAAGTCTGTACTTATTCATTTTGTGTACTGACGCCTTTGAAAAAAATTATCTTAAAGGTTTGATTATGAAAAAGTAAAGATTGGAAGTATTTCAGATGTTTTGAAAGCCTTTGCTAAATTAGTATTCAACAAAGTTCAAGTAGTTTTTCAAAGATAATTTTTTATTAATTGATTATGTTTATTAAATCACTGAAAGAAGGCTAGAGTAAAATTAAAATAATTATACCGGTACTCTATTAATAATTTCAGTTACATTCTTTTATATTTCTTTCCCTTAATAAAATAGGGTTACATTTGTATTTCGCACAGTCCTATTGAAAAGTAAAGAGCTGATGATTACCTCTGTTGATCAAAGGCAATGAATCTAGATGGTAAATTAAGTGACGGTGACAAATTTCTGAAAGCAAGTGAATACAAGGAGAAAGGTAATGCAGCCTACAAGGCAGGTGACTTTAAAAAAGCCGCTGGAAGTTATCACAGAGCAATCCTTTATCTTAAAGGTCTCAGCATCAATTGCCCAGACATTGTCGGTGGTTTAACATCCTTGGGTAAATTTGATGAAGCACCTAAGATGTCCGCAAGTTTAACTGAGGATGCAAGATCTCTTACATGTGATTGTTACAATAACTTAGCAGGTATGTTAGTGTTAGAGATTTTTTTGTACAACGACCACCTATCTTACAAATTACTTTTCAATTATAATATACATAAAGTGACATTTGACCTTGTCATGTTGGCAATTATTAGTTTAAGTTTAATGAATTGCTCTAATATACTAATTATTCGTTCAGTATAGAATGTTGAAAAATAAAGAATATGAAGGCAGTTTTTATCCCTAATAACAAAAGGGTTGTACGTTTTTAACTTAGACCTTTATGTTCTTTTGGAATAAAAAAACTTGAAATTGCAAGGGGTTTGAAAATATTTGTTTAGTTCAATAACCCTTAAAACTTGTAACTAATGATATTCACATTCCTCTCATTTTAATCAGCTATTTTGTTCTTGTGGGTTTTTTTTTTTAAATTTTGTAATTTATTGTTTTCATTGGAAAATGCAGCCTGCATGTTAAAGGATCCCGAACCAAAGTATCAGAGAATTATTGAACATTGTGACAGAGCTCTAGATGCATCGCCTAACAATTTGAAAGCACTGTTCCGAAAAGGAACTTCACAGTATGCTGTAGGAGACTATGAAGAAGCACTTGCAACGTTAGAAATGGCAGCACCTGGTGTGTATTTCCATTTAAATATTGAAAGTCAACTTTGTTTTGTTTTTTTATTGGATTATTAAGAAATATTTTGTATAATAATTTGGACAATATTGTAAGGAAATCGACCTTATCTCAACTCGTTCTCAATCTATTTCCTGTGGATGGTAACCTCTTTCACACTGTCTCTCTTACTGCAACACACATTGACTGTTAGACTTCACTTTATTGGCTCAGCTCAACAATCATGACCTTGCAATTTTGCTCTGACTGTCCCGGGTTAGTGTCTCCTCATGTCTATCCTGGCCACTAGACTGTCTGGCCCACCCTCAGTCCAACTAACTCTCTCCGGCTTCGCTCACTTGGCGTACAACGCTTCACTCGGCTTGTCTCTGCTTTACTCTCCTTAGCTCATGGTTAACTCTCCCTCAAAATCTAATCATCCCCTCTTATAGGTCCACGAGCCGACCGAAGTGTCCTAGAGATTACCCGTGCTATTCTAATTCTAATGCAAATTATCTTAGCGCCATCGTCACGCTCTTGCTTGGTGGTCAGTCCTTGGTACCGTTTGTTTTCTTCCCTCACACCTGCCTGATTACCTCCCCTGCCTTCTAAAGTCTTGATTTATACTAATTTCCTGTCAAACGCATGCTTTTCTGGGTCTGTGGCATCTCCTACAATCTTATGCTCGTGTGATTCGCCTGTTTTCGACTGTGGGTTTTACCCCTTGCTCCTGCCCGCTGCATTCCACGTTTTAATTTATCTGCAGTCTGCTGCAATCTTATGCGCATGCTTGTTGGTCAGACTTCCACTGTAGGTTTACCCCGCACCGTTGACATCCCCTGTATTCCACGTCTTAATTTATCTGCTACGCGTGTCAATTAGCCAAACACCTGGGCTGAACTCTCTACAATATTTTGTCAATTTGTTTGAGCCATTATCTTTTTTTTACACAATTATATAGAGGATTTTAATAGAAAGAAAATGTGCAAGTCATATAGGCCTTTTTTAATTTGATTGATTACAGATATAGCACGCTTTGTTAACCGTACATTACTTGTTGATATTTCAGATCCTAGTGTCAGGAAATATATTGAATTATGCAAAGCAGGAATAAAAAAGCAAGACAGAGAGATGGCAGAGAAATTCAAAGGAATGTTTAAATCCTGATAGTTTAATGTTTGCTGTTTCGTGAATATTCCTTCTTATTTTATACAGGTTAAATTTGATATTAAAATTTTAAATTTATTATAGCTTATCGAGTATTGTTTTTTCTTCATAATGCTTCATACATAAAACTTTTCTGTTATGTCATACATAAATTGAAATATCATCAGTAGTAAAAAAATAGCTGATTTAACAAATCACAGATGAACCATTTTTGCATTTTCTTTTTAGAGGAATGGAAATACATTACAGGATCCGCAATAGCTGCAATTTAAGAATAACTTAAGAATTATTCCAAGCCATGTGACAACTTATTGAATGGGACCATACTGTAGCGCACCAAGGGTGTGACAAGACAGAGCCCCAATTGAAAGGAGGTGAAAAGTGGTGAGCCAGACAAAATTGTTATATTTAAGTATTTTGAAAATTCTTATTTGTTTATAAATTAGTTTATCTGAATTGAATAAGCTAAAATGGCACACAATGGTCTTGGTAGAGCAAAGTTTCCCCATCCTGCATGTGCAAGATTGTTTTTTAAAGGTTTTATGGTAGCTTATTTTTAAGAACACAGGAGCCATTAATTTTTATTTATAATACTAGAGTTTAAATATGTTTTTCATGTCTTCATTAACACTTTAATGTATGTATTTAGTCAAAAGTCAATGAGTTCCTTCCCCAGAAAAATTATTGATAAACTAGAAATAGCCAGCCAAACAATGGCATCACCAAAGCGTGAATTTCCCATCTACTAAAGTTACTTGATAAAAAATGCATTCAAGTAAGACACTTGATAAGAATCCCAAATTAGTGCTAATTACATATACCCCCTGTTATTTAATATGAGCATATTTATTTTCTCTGATTTAAATTGACTTGATTTAGGTAATATAAAAAAAACTAACTATCTGAATTTTTTAAAATCCCAACTAGAAATAGGAATTTTATCTTGATCACACATTTGCACTTTGTTTGGAATATTTATTGGGAGTTTTATTTTGTGCGCTATTGAAAAGAGAATTACAGACATAGGCCTACATTCATACATTCATATTAGTTGAGCTTCAAAATGGGAGGGTGCATTTTGACACATACTTGTACCTGAAATTAGTTTGCATCATTCTACACTTAATTGATGAGCAACAGAAGAGATGTGCGAGAAAATTTAGATGTCCTTTGATCTGGTTGTGTTCATACAAATCCTGTATTATCAGTTGTTTCTAAGTTATAATGTTATTATATAAATTTTAATTCAAACATTTTTTACACTGTTTAGTGGAAAGGGTCTAATGACTTTTTATGGCTATTTAAAACTGGTACTTCATTTTAAATTGTATAAAAATTTCATGACTATCTAAAGAAGTCAGATATATTACAAACGAATCAGATTTTTATTAATCTGAAGAATTAATGATCATATGGCGCCTGTTGTAAAAAAAGGCTTTTTGATTTACTTAACACAATTCTCCCCCCGGGCTGGCCTTAGCAATTTCGGCATCCCTGGCAAATAAAAAATTTTTTAGCCCCTTCCTCTAAAATATTTCAGGGTGATACTATCTGTTAACTGGAGAGGAGTGAAGAGTCCTAAAATATCAGTCTTATTCTGCGAACTAAGTTATAAACATTAAAACAGAATTATGATTTAGATTTTATTTAGAAAGTTGGAAACTAATCTGTGAAATTAAAATCACTTTTTAAAAAATTGAAATGGTGTAACTCTTTAACATTAACAGTGATAACAGTTACTTAAAACTTTTTTGAATTATTAAAAATCTAATTAGCATCATAGCTGGTATTTTATTCTATAAGTATAAGTAAATTTGTCTGGCTTTTGCGGTAGTATTGATGGCATCCTCATAATCTAGTCTTCTGGCAACATCATTTTTAATGAACAGCATAGCCAAACATGTGAGTCTGAGACTTTCCCAATGATTTTAAATAGGTTTTATAATAAATTTTAGTTATTTGGAAAAATTTACAGTCACTAACTTGACTGAAAAACTTTTTCTCAGAATGCATTCAGAAAATGTTAATGACATTATATAAATCCATTATGGGATTTTTCATAGATTTGCTGACAATATTAATGATGATGCAATGTCAAATACAATGCCGGAAAGAACTAAGTAAATATCCATATTAAATCCTTCAATCCTTTGGCAACTGTCATCGCTTCATGTCGCACACTACTAGAAGGATAATTTTGCAGTTCCTGATATATGGCAAACAGTGCATCGTAAACTTCACCAAGCTAATAACTAATAGGTACAATACTATAATACTGCCAATTCTTGACTTGCAGCGTGTTGAACATAAAGGTTTTACCGTTAGTTTTGGAATAATCAAAGTTTCTTGATGTTGTTTTTTTGTTGTTTTTTTCAAAATTGTCCATTGAGCTGTTGGTTTAGAAAGTAAGATATACATTGGCTGAAGAAATCAAAAAACATATTTTTTAGAAATAACTTTCCATCATCGCCAACAACAACCACAAGAGTGACAACCACAAGAGTGACAACCACAAGAGTGACAACCACAAGAGTGACAACCACAAGAGTGACAACCACAAGAGTGACAACCACAAGAGTGACAACCACAAGAGTGACAACCACAAGAGTGACAACCACAAGAGTGACAACCACAAGAGTGACAACCACAAGAGTGACAACCACAAGAGTGACAACCACAAGAGTACAACCACAAGAGTGACAACCACAAGAGTGACAACCACAAGAGTGACAACCACAAGGGACGCACATATTTAAAGAGGATCTATTCCAAGGAGTCTTTTTCTGGACACCATAATGTGTTGGCTTTCCAATTGGCATTGTCATGGCCTTGACCCCTGCCATTGTCAATTGGAAGTTTGCATCTGTGCAATACAAGGAAAATGACATTGGCAAGACTAAGATCTTGATCCGTAGTATCGTCACCTGCAATAACACAGAGAAAGTTCTCGTGAGTGGACGCTTCTTCTTCAATGTCAACATACTGGTATCAGATTATTATATGCGGTACATTTGGGGTTGTCCATACAAAGTACGAATTTTCCACCCCTCTCCCCTGGTCCACATGTGGCTTAACCCCCCCCCCCTTCCACCAAAAAATATATTTTAAAAATCGTTTGCAGACATCCGCAGGCGCCAATGGCAATTTACAGAGCTGCAGTATAGAAACATTATACATTTTAAAGAGTGAAATGATTACAGACTTAACCTTCTAAATCAGTATGATATAGGTCCACACATTGTTGAATTTGGAGATTATGCTTAGTGGTGGGTAGGGCGGAGACTGCAGAAAGTACGAACTTCTGACCCTCTGTATTACCAGGTACCTCTAATAAAGCCAACTGTCACCTTTAAGTGAAATCCATGATATGTAAAAAAAAAGAATTTTTTTTGTCTTAAAAGAAATCAACGCATTGATTTGTATCTATCGACGTACGGTACCCTTGCTTTTTGTTTTCACCCGTGGTCGGCAAATCGCGGCTCTTGAACGACCTGAGTGCGGCTCGGCCACACGTCCTGGTATTCACTTCCAAAGACTTTGTTCTTGACAGGTTCTTGAAAAAAGAAATTCGGCTCTCTGTCCTGCTGCTGATTTTTTTGGTGGCGGCTCTTTTGACTTTTGAGTTTGCCGACCCCTGGTTTATACCAACCGGATACAATAACAGTAGTTGGTTATTCAGAAGTGATCCATTGTTTAGCAATTATTTTGGTAGGATGAAGTCAATTGTCGTATCTCCACGCCACTTCCTGTGAGCAGACCACTGGCTCATCCCGGACGATAAATCCTTCACGGCCATTTGGACCAGCCGACAGTAGCATAATGTGGTAGGGTCAACAAGTGTGGGAAGTGGGGGAAATTCATTGGAGGACACGACACCCCTCCGCGCCCCCCCTCCCCAACCCTCAGGTGTTCGCTTACTCGGTTGTTCGCTTACTCGGTTGTTTGTAAGAATACATTGCAGCATTTAACGTTTGTAGTGTCGGGTACACGAGCATCTTTGACAATTGCTATTTATTTATGTAGGCATTTTTATATAGCGCTGACCTTAAAGCTCTAAGCGCTTTACAATTATTAAAAACATGTAAACTAAGTAAAATAAAAATGAGACACTAGGATAGTAACTACTACTACTATACTATAGAAACAATTAAAATGGCTATATCTTTTTCTCAAATTTCTTATCTCTGAAATCTTTGATGGCGTTTCCTTCGGCTTTTGGTCCCCCTTGAGGAAAAAAAATATATCAGATGACCCATTATGCATTTAGTCTGGGCGTTACAGTTACAGACGTAAGTCGAAGGTAGACATGGATTGGGGAGGGGGGAGTGTCTGCGGAGAAGGCCTTGCTCCGGGCGGGACTTTGTACGGGGGCTAGATATTCAGTGTTGAATGTTTTTTTGTTTGTTTGTTGTTGTTTGTTTTGTGAAAAAAAGGGGGAGGGGTTGTATATTAACAATAAGTTGTCTTTGAATTTAATTTTGGAATAATGAAAAAATTGTTTTTAATAAAACTACTGTTGGAATTTCAACGTAAAATTGAGTAAATCAAAATAAATCCATAATAAAACTTAACACAGTGCATTTTTTTTTTTACACGTTTGCCGGGATGTTTCATTTTAATTTTAAAATAATAAAAGCAAATAAAGTTTAAATGTGTGCGGAAAAAAAAAACCCAACAGACTATTTAACTGCCGCCATTTAGACCAGTGCTCCGTTAGATTTACTGATTTGGAGAACTCCACTCCAGCATTAAGTTGCGCTTGCCTATTATTGTGACGGCTCAACCATTCACCGCCTTACACTATAATTGGCTATCATAAGGGTAACAGCATTGTGGCCGATTTCTAAGCAGTGATATTTACTAACATGTTGAAGATGCTACTTTGGAGAAGGGTGGGGGGACTAATTAAAGTTCTTCACATTATATATCTTTCGGAAATGTAAAATGTGTGCCTTATATGCTTGTTTGAGCTCATCTTCAAATAACCAGTTAAACTCTAACTTCAGATTTTACGAACTATGCTGAAATAAACTGTAATTTGCTTGTGTGCCCCCCCCCCCCAACGATAACACCAGCAATCGCT